GAGAGAGAAGAATTAGTAAGGTGTTGGAGAGACGGTCGAGATTAGAAGGAGAGAGGGGGAGAGAGAGAGGAGAGAATCGGAACCGACGAGGGACGAGAGAGAGAGAGAGCGGAGAAAGAGGGCAGTCGCCCGGGAGAGAGGGTGAGGCAGAGAGAGAGAAAGAGGGTAGAGAGGGAGAGGAGAGAGGGAGAGAGGGAGAGATGAGAGAGAGGGAGAGAGGGAGAGACGAGAGAGAGAGATGAGAGAGAGAAGAGAGAGAGAGGAGAGGAGAGAGTAGAGAGAGAGAGAGAGAGAGAGAAAGGAGAGAGGGAGAGAGAGACAGAGGGAGAGCGGGAGAGAGAGAGGGAAGAGAGGGAGAGAGGGGGAGAGAGAGAGAGAGAGAGACAGAGGGAGGAGGGAGAGAGAGAGAGAGAGGGCGACAGAGGGAGAGAGGGAGAGAGAGAGGGCGAGAGAGAGGCAGAGGGAGAGAGGAGAGAGTGAAGAACAAACCACTCATTTGTAAATACAACCCATATTATGTTATTTATTTTTCCCATTTGTACTTTACACTATTTGCACAGTTAAAACAATGTATATATACATAATATGACATTTTGAAATGTCGTTATGCTTTTGAAAATCTGCGTGTAATGTGTATGTTAAATTATTGTTTATTTCACTTTTGTTACTATCTACTTCACTGCTTGGCAATGTTAACATACGTTTACCCTGCCAATAAAGCCCTAAATTGAAATTTGAAATGAATTGAGAGGAGGAGGAGAGAGGGGGAGGACGAGAGAGAGAGAGAGAGAGAGAGAGGAGGGAGAGAGGGAGAGAGGAGAGGGGAGAGAGAGAGAACGAGAGAGAGAGAGAGAGATATTAGGGAGGGGTTATGTCCCTTTTAACTAAATCCCTTTTACAATTGGTTTTCATGGTCATGTAGTATAGGGGAAAAGCTTTTCCATACAAATATCCCCTAACTATTAACTGTAGCTAAGACAAACGACGCCCCCTAGGTCATACACAACCTAACTGTTATAGGAAATATTGTCTGCAACAATACAGTAGTGAGATTATTGATGCCATGGAGGGTTCTGTCATAGGGTTAAGTACCTTGCTCAAGGACACATCGGCAGATTTTTCACCTAGTCAGCTCGGGGATTAGAACCAGCGACCTTTCGGTTACTGGCACACACTTGGGCCGGGCGTTTTAGTTGGGTTTTTCAACCCCACATTTCGATCATCTGACCTCAAGAGGCCGATACAGCAACATGTGTGAATTAATTGTCACGTGTGCATACCATGATCAATTAACGTAATTATCCAATTAGTCCAAAATACATTCCCAACCATGTGGATTGACTTCAAATGAAATGTTTGCCGAAAATTATTCTCATCATCAGCCTACGCTTTAGCCTAATCTATCTTAAAGACATTATCAACATATTCATTGTCTCTTATAAACATTATGGGAATAATTGGCGTTTTATCTACACTGAACAAAAGTATAACATCCCTCTCAAAAAAAGTTGACAATCCCAAAATGCTAGCGTTCATTAAAGGGACATTTCACTGCTGCTCTGTTTCACTGCATCTGTCCATTAATATGTTATTAACATATAATCTGTAATAAAAACATTTCGAATTCTCTCACTACATGCAAATACGAGCGTTTTTGCATCTCACCATTAGAAACGGGCCAGCTACATTTCCCAATATCCAGAATTCATAGCGGTTTCAGGACGTGGAGGACCGCATGGTGGAGATGTATCCAATTGATGTGAGAAATATCCAAAATGTCTGTTTGTAGACAGCACTTTCAGCGGAGGATTTCGAAACGGAACTGAAGTCTCAGCTGATGGGGTTGCCCTGTCGTCAAACGTTGAAAAGTGATGCTACTCTATCGATTTTCCCCTTCACTTCAAAGAGGGACCTATCCGATCAGCCAACATCAGCGCAGCAGAAAATAAGTCAAGCTGAGGTAACGTAGTTAACGTTACTTCGCTAACTAGCTAGCTAGCGAACTACAGTTGTTCATCGGCGTTTTAGCTAGCTATCTTTTCATAATACGCTGGCTAGACATTTCAAAGCATATCAACGTAATTAGCCAGCTGCTATCTGGTGATGTGATTTGTAACTTTGCAAGCTAAAGTTAGCTTCCTTAGGTTATGTTAGCTAACCGTTAGCTAGCTAGCTAACTACTGCAGAGGCTAACGTGACTGTTCTATTTAGAGTCCGATCCCATCAGCATCAAGCTCCGCACCAGGAACTAGTGTGAGTCACCTAAAATCGTACTAAAATCAACTAAATCTTTCCACGACTCCATGATGAGCTAATAAATATACTGGAGTTCGGCCTAAACATGGTCCGTGTCTGGTTGTCATGGTTGGTGTGTTTACAAGTAGGCTACAACTTCTACTGTAGTTTTCACTGTATTATGGAGGCTTAGTTGGTTGTTCGCGCAAGGCTTGATGTCTAAATTGGAGCAAAGGAAGTATTAGTAAAGAGGGGATGACTGACTGGTGTCTGTTGGGGGTGGGTATTGTGTGTGAAGGTTAGTCAGCATGATCTATTGACGTGAGGGCGGTGGGTGGATATGGTACCTTGTTAGAGTGTGTTTTGATGTGGAGAAAATATACAAATGTTGGCTAATCACTGACTACTGCGTGACCTACAGACTAATCCTGATGATGATGATGATGACCTATACACCAACTTTAGTAGTACAGAGCCGGTAGACTCATTGGATGAAAGCTTTCAGCCTGGAATAAGATCAACATCGTCTGACTTTGAAATAAGCCAGGACAGCCAAAGGTACTTATGAAAGTACAATACCCTCTTGAGAAAACTAAATCACCAATACACTAAACTGACTACAAGACAAATCACCAATACACTAAACTGACTACAAGACAAATCACCAATACACTAAACTGTCTACAAGACAAATCACCAATACACTAAACTGTCTACAAGACAAATCACCAATACACTAAACTGTCTACAAGACAAATCACCAATACACTAAACTGTCCACAAGACAAATCACCAATACACTAAACTGACTACAAGACAAATCACCAATACACTAAACTGTCTACAAGACAAATCACCAATACACTAAACTGTCTACAAGACAAATCACCAATACACTAAACTGTCTACAAGACAAATCACCAATACACTAAACTGTCTACAAGACAAGTGCACCTCAAACTTTTCACACCCTTGCAGTCAGTTATTTGGCATTGGGGGAGAGGGGCTGTCAGTGTACTCTTCTAGCCTAGTCACTCTACTGTTGGCAGTGCTCGTCTACTCAACAGCACAACTGTAGGTGCTCATACACAACAACACACAACAATACACAACAATACACAACAATACACAACAATACACAACAATACACAACAATACACAACTAGACTGTTGTCAAGTCAAACACATACCAGTCTACTGCACCCTTTTTTGGTTTACAGATGAACACGGTTTATTGTATGGTTACACAATTTCATGATCAGTCTTCATGTTCTACACATCCTCATGATCAGTCTACATGTTCTACACATCCTCATGATCAGTCTTCATGTTCTACACATCCTCATGATCAGTCTTCATGTTCTACACATCCTCATGATCAGTCTTCATGTTCTACACATCCTCATGATCAGTCTTCATGTTCTACACATCCTCATGATCAGTCTTCATGTTCTACACATCCTCATTATCAGTCTTCATGTTCTACACATCCTCATGATCAGTCTTCATGTTCTACACATCCTCATGATCAGTCTTCAGGTTTTACACGTCCTCATGATCAGTCTCCATGTCTTTCCAGGAGACTTGCAGTACAAACAAATATTCTGCAAGAGATCAAGGGCGGCAGGTAGCTTAGTGGTTAAGAGCGTTGTGCCAGTAACCGAAAGGTCGCTGGTTCTAATCCCCGAGCCGACTAGGTGAAAAATCTGTCGATGTGCCCTTGAGCAAGGCACTTAACCCTAATTGCTCCTGTAAGTGGCTCTGGATAAGAGCATCTGCTAAATGACAAAAACAAAACAAAAATAATCAAAGCAGTAGGTGGTGAAGAAAGTGTCGGAGAGGCTTGTCCACCTGGCTGTGGAGTGCAGAAAGGACCAGATGGGTTGTCCCCCTGGCTGTGGAGTGCAGAAAGGACCAGATGGTTGTCCCCCTGGCTGTGGAGTGCAGAAAGGACCAGACGGTTGTCCCCCTGGCTGTGGAGTGCAGAAAGGACCAGACGGTTTGTCCCCCTGGCTGTGGAGTGCAGAAAGGACCAGACGGTTGTCCCCCTGGCTGTGGAGTGCAGAAAGGACCAGACGGTTGTCCCCCTGGCTGTGGAGTGCAGAAAGGACCAGACGGTTGTCCCCCTGGCTGTGGAGTGCAGAAAGGACCAGACGGTTGTCCCCCTGGCTGTGGAGTGCAGAAAGGACCAGACGGTTGTCTATGAGGAGCCAGAGTCACACCCCCCCCCAAACCCAACATCCCTGCCAATGTCGCCACAGCGCCAAAACCTGCTAAACCAGCTGCCATTACCCAACTCAAGAAGAGGTTCACCAGCTGAAGAACATTCTGGAACCTGCCTGGAACATTCAACCAACACAACATCCATATTCAGTTAGACTGATGTTGTAGTATAATATAGAATGCCTAGGATGCTCACAATTGCATTGTGGTGTAGATATTGCTAGCTGGTGTACATATGTATACAGTGGTGTTTTTATATCATATGTTTTACAAGTGTACTGACATGTGACTAAATTATTCCAACTGCATCAGAAACCAATAGTGTTGACTTCAACTACTGGATCAATTCATTGTGATATTCATTAAATGTTTTGGGATAAACTAGCTTCAGTCTTACTGCTAAACATGTTTTAATAAAACAGTAGATTAGTCTGTGGATATATAGTAAATAACTAGACACGGTTTGTATTCAAGAAACATTTCAAGTATTTACAATGTCCTGTCGGATAGGAATGTCGTAGAGTCCAATGGCTCTATTGAACATGGACGACCATATCTATTCGCTGCTAGCGTGATCGTGCAAAATCGGCTAAATACTGAGGCCACAATAATTGCTACCAAACATGACTCCATTAATTTTAAATCAGACAGCAGGCTCAATCAACCAATGACGTCGTTGGTTGAGCTCTCCCGGCGTGAAAGTTAAAAAATACAGCTAAATGCATAATTATGCCAGAAACACCCTCTCGTCACTCATAATGATGTAGGGAGACTGGGGAAACACCCCAAATAGTGTCTAGCGGTGAAATTTCCCTTTAACACACATGTTAAAGAATGGAGGCGCAGATGAATTCATCTTTGAAAAGGACAAGAACCTACAACACAAGGCCAAATCTACACTGGAGTTGCTTACCAAGACAGTGAATGTTCCTGAGTGGCCGAGTTACAGTTTAGACCAGGGGTGTCAAACGTACGGCCCGCGGGCCGGATCAGGCCCGCAAACGGGTTTAATCCGGCCCGCTAGTTGATAAAAAAAAGAAAAAAAAGTATAAAAATGCGCTGCATTTTTTCAATTAAATAAATTGCTGTTCCAATTGCGTACACTGGATGGCGCAATAGCAATTGTGTTAAGCAAGCAAACTGTTTATACCGGGGCAGAGCAAGTAGGTCAAGCACGTGCAGCCAATGAGCTACTTTGTTTTGCCCGCAATATTTATTACGGCTTCTACTTTTAACATTATGTGCTTTGGCACCCTCATTGCCCCAATATGTCTCTGTCAAAAAAGAGAAAAGTGGACGCAGAGTGCAGAGTGTTCCAAGAAAAATGGTCATCCTATTTAATCACGGAATTGAATGGGAAAGCTGTATGTTTGGTGTGTTCAGAGCATGTTGCAGTGCTGAAAGAATATAACCTTCGTCGCCACTATGTGAGTCTTCATGCCGACAAATATGACAACTTTCAAGGACAGCGGAGATGAGAGAAGGTGAATGAACTGTTGGTGGGTCTGAAGAAACAGCAGTCTGTGTTTACTCACAGCCGAGACATCAGTGACGCTGCAGTGAAAGCTAGCTACCTCATTGCTAATGAAATCGCAGTGGCTTCAAAACCATTTAGTGAGGGTGAATTTGTAAAAACATGCATGATGAAGGCAGCGGAGATTGTGTGCCCTGAAAAGCGGCAGGCTTTTGCAAATATCAGCCTGACAAGAAACACAGTTGCAGACAGGATTTCCGATCTTTCAGTGGATTTGGACAGCCAGTTGAAGCAAAAAGTAAAGTCATTTATTGCGTTTTCGGTTGCAATTGATGAAAGCACGGACATTACAGATGTTGAACTTGACGTGTTTTATGATTAATAGTGATGTTGTGCTTGTATTATTTTGGACACACTGTCCTCAGGCTCCAGCTTTATGTTGTATGTTGATCGTATTAAAACAAAGAAAAGTTGTTGTTTTTAAGTTATATATACCATGATTTTTCCGGTCCGGCCCACTTGGGAATAGATTTTCCTCCATGTGGCCCCTGAGCTAAAATGAGTTTGACACCCCTGGTTTAGACTGAAATCTGCTAGAAAATATATGGCAAGACCTGACACTGTGACAGAGCTTGAAGAATAAAAAGAAAAAGAATAATGGAAAAAAATATTGCACAATCCAGGTGTGCAAAGCTCTTAGAGACTTACCCAGAAATACTCACAGCTATAATCGCTGCCAAAGGTGTTTCTAACATGTATTGACTCAGGGGGGTGAATATTTACCTCATCAAGCTATTAGCTAAATGTTCGAATTTTTTCTTTCACTTTGACATTAAAGAGTATTTAGTGTAGCTCGTTGACAGAAAATAACATCCATTTTAATCCCCAACAAGAAAACAACAACAAATTGTCGCTTAAACAGAAGGGGAAACTAACAAAGAGTCCCTAACAACAACCAAAACGAAACAGGTGGGTTTTCGAAGGGGTTCTCAAAAACACCTACGGGGGGTGTCCACTGAAACAGGACAAATTGGGTCCTACAAGACACCCACCAAGTGCCCAAGAAAAGGTCAACGCAAAATATAGACCCACACCACCCTATAATATGGAGTATGAAGACCCACACCACCCTATAATATGGAGTATGAGGACAGGCACCACCCTATAATATGGAGTATGAAGACCCACACCACCCTATAATATGGAGTATGAGGATCCACACCACCCTATAATATGGAGTATGAGGACCCACACCACCCTATAATATGGAGTATGAGGATCCACACCACCCTATAATATGGAGTATGAGGATCCACACCACCCTATAATATGGAGTATGAGAACCCACACCACCCTATAATATGGAGTATGAGGACCCACACCACCCTATAATATGGAGTATGAAGACCCACACCACCCTATAATATGGAGTATGAAGACCCACACCACCCTATAATATGGAGTATGAGGACCCACACCACCCTATAATATGGAGTATGAAGACCCACACCACCCTATAATATGGAGTATGAGGATCCACACCACCCCATAATATGGAGTATGAAGAAAGGGCAAACTAAATGAGATAGAATAAAATGATTTTTATTCCCAAACAAGGTGATGAGAGCAGAGAGGGTGGAGGAGTGATGAGAGCTGGTTAAGTCCTAAGTGTAACTCTGTTTGTAGTGATGTAGGACAGGGAAGGAGAGGGAAGGAGAGAGAGAGGGAATGAGAGAGAGAGGGAAGGAGAAAGAGAAAGAGAGAGGGAATGAGAGAGAGAGAGATAGAGAGACGAGAGAGAGAGAGAGGGAAGGAGAGAGAAGAGACGGAGAGGAGAGGGAAGGAGTGCGAAAAGTGGATAGACGAGAGAGAGAGAGATATAGAAGAGAGAGAGATAGAGAGCTGCAGAGCCTCAAATAATCGATAGCTCGAGCTTAGCTCTTATCTGAGGAGAGAGACGATAGTCTCTCGCCTTCTCTCTGACCTTGAGAGAGCGAGAGAGGGGTAACCAGAAAACGTTTGACCCACCCCAAGAGCCACCTCAGGAAAACTGTGACACGTTCACATAGAAAACCATTATAGTCCAGATCTTCTTCATGAGGCTTAATGATCCCTCAACAACTCTGGATGAAAGAGAGAGGGATGGAGAGGAGAGAGAGAAGATTTTGAGAGACAGACAAGAGAAGTAGAACATAGAAAGAAACAGAGAGAGAGATGGATGGAGAGAGAGAAGGATTTGAGAGAGAGAGGAAGAGAGAGAGATGGATGGAGGGAGAAGGATTTCAGATAGAGAGGAAGAGACAGAGAAAGAAAGAGAGAGAGAGTTGCTGGGTAGAAAGGTGCATCTTGAGAAGGCAGAGATTAAATGACCAAATAAATGACTACAGCGTGTGTGCATGCGTGTGTGTGCTTGTATGTGTGTTTGCATTCCAGTGTGTGAGTGTGTGTGTGTGTGTGTGTGTGTGTCTACACGTGTCGTGTGGATGTGCATCTGTGTGTGTGTGTGTGTCAGTGGCGGTTGGTGACGTTTAAGATGAGGGAGGACGAATATATATTTTCTATCAGCATGGCCTTATTTCTATTACAGCATAATGGATGGCTGTCATTCATATTCCATTCACCCAGCTCAATGTAACATCCATAGGTCTAGGCTGCTACATGATACTCAAATGTTTCCCTCTACCCATCATGAGGTTGCTACAACCTAGCCTATGAAAGAGAGAAAAATGTGACTAATCAAGGTGACAGAAAGTGACACATTCAATACCCTTCCACACTCTTGCCTGCATCTAGCTGATCTAGGGGGTAATCATTAGTCCAACAGTTGCAAACGAGAGTTTCTATTGGACAAATTCAGGTATATTTATCCCTGTGTCATTCCGTTTGCTTCCATTTAAGAAATGTTTTTCAACAGAATCGGCAGAATGAATACACCCCTGATCACACGCAAACACAGCTCACGTTTCATAGCAGCCACATACAAACAGCATGATCATTTTGTTCGTTGTATAATTCCTTCTCGCATCTACGCGCTCTCATCCTCTCACCTTTTCCCTTCGCTTGTGGACTTCAGTGCTCAACACATCAGCTGTCTGTAACCAGGCAAAAAACATTTTCCAATCCAAACCTTAATATAACCGCTAACCGCTACACACAGCCTACATCGTTGTCACCGTATTAGCTAACATCATAGTCAACATAGCTACTAGAACTAACGCGTTAGTAAACCCGCTACAATTATGCAGTCAGCAAGCAGTTTTGCAGTTACACCGGCGGGCCCCGATGGCAATAAATTAATAAAACCGAAAGCTTACCTTGACTTGGAAGAGTTGGATAGCCATAGCCAGCTGGCTAACATAGCATCCCTCTCTGTTTGAGCCGGGTGTTTGAGTAGGCTAATACAGTGAAATATAGCTCTCTCTCTCTCTCTCTCTCTCTCTCTCTCTCTCTCTCTCTCTCTCTCTCTCCTCTCTCTCTCTCTCTCTCTCTCTCTCTCTCTCTCTCCTCTCTTCTCTCTCTCTCTCTCGAGATAGAGAGGAGATCTCTCTCTCTCTCTCCTCTCTCTCTCCCCACTCGTCCCCCCTATCTCTCTATCTCCTCTCAGCTTCTTTTCTGATCTCTCTCTTCCTCCTTCCTCCATAATTTTTTAAGAAGTTAATTTGTTCAAAACTGCTCAACTATTGTCTTTCTCTCTCTTTGAGACAACCTCTCACCACACTGAAGTGCTAGCTAGCTGTAGCTTATGCTTTCAGTACTGTATTAATTATCTGATCCTTTGATTGAGTGGATAACATGTCAGTTCACGCTGCAAGAGCTCTGATAGGTTGGAGGACGTCCTCCGGAAGTTGTCATAATTACTGTGTAAGTCTGTGGATGGGGGTGAGAACCATGAGCCTCCTAGGTTTTGTATTGAAGTCAATGTACCCAGAGGAGGACGCAAACTAGCTGTCCTCCGGCTACACCATGGTGCTACCCTACAGAGCGCTGTTGAGGCTACCTTCATTGCAAAACAGTGTGTTTTAATCAATTATTTGGTGACATGTTAATATATTTAGTATTGTTTTATGTTTTATTATTTTTATGAAATTCACTGAGGAGGATGGTCCTCCCCTTCTTCCTCTGAGGAGCCTCCACTGGTGTGTGTGTGTGTGTGTGTGTGTGTCTTTGTCTGCGTGTATATGCCAGTATCTGTGTTTATGATGTGTAGAATACCACAGTCATTACCACAGAATCAATGGCTAGGTAATTAGCAGCCTTTGACAGTAGAATATATAACAAGTATGACTGTATCACAGAATCAATGGCTAGGTAATTAGCAGCCTTGACAGTAGAATATATAACAAGTATGACTGTATCACAGAATCAATGGCTAGGTAATTAGCAGCCTTTGACAGTAGAATATATAACAAGTATGACTGTATCAAAGCATTAATCTATTAGAATTAACACATTAAACTAGCTGCACCTTTTATACAGCAGGCTCCTGTTGTAATATCCTTCCCTGGATTAGATACAGCGCTGTGGGGACTAATGCCTTGTTCACACTGCAGGCCTCAATGCTCAAATCAGTTTAGTTTTTCAAATCCGTTTTGGAAATACTGACTGTCCAAACAGAAAGTTACAAGTGACCAAATCAGATTTGTTTTGTGTTCAGACAGCAGTCATTTGCTGACATGGCTACGCTAGTTGCCATAGTAATGACGGGTGTGTGAGCAGTGTGTAGGCTGATTGGTGGTGGTGCTCGCGCCTCCTGTCACTCAGAAGTTGTGTAGCAAGCTAAGGTGACAACAACGTCTGCCATGGACGTTTCGCAGATTTTTAAATGTTCAAAATCATAGTAAGAACACTTTTAAAGCCTCAAAGGATAAGCTGATCCAACTTTTGTAAACAATTAACAAGCTAGTTGGCTACCACATGTTCTTGTCAAACTGTCAACAGAGTAGCTAGCAAGCAACAAGATTAGCCAAATAACAGTCTAAAAACCACTTGAGGGCAAATAAATCAGATCTGACGGTTTGAAGTAACATAATAATAACATGGCCAGGAATCCAATTTTTATCTGATTTCAAATCACCTTCAAATGTGGTTTGAAAAATTCGATTCAATGTGCTTTTTGGCGGTTCAGACTGCAGGAAAAAGAACTGATTCGAAACAGATGTGCAAAAAAATAGGATTTGAGTCACTTCAAACTGCCAGTGTGCACAAGGCTTAATTGACTTTAATCATATGGCAGCCATTGCCCATTGACTAACGTTTGTTTACACAATAGCCGTCTAGGGTAGAATTGTTTACTGTCTATGACTTGTTTATGACCTGTTTATGACCTGTCTATGACCTGTTTATGACCTGTCTATGACCTGTTTATGACCTGTTTATGACCTGTCTATGACCTGTCTATGACCTGTTTATGACCTGTCTATGACCTGTCTATGACCTGTTTATGACCTGTCTATGACCTGTCTATGACCTGTTTATGACCTGTCTATGACCTGTCTATGACCTGTCTATGACCTGTTTATGACCTGTCTATGACCTGTCTATGACCTGTCTTTGACCTGTCTATGACCTGTTTATGACCTGTCTATCTTCTCGTTCTCTTCCCTCGCTCCTTGTCTCCTGATTCCTCTTCCTCGATTATTTTATTTTCTTTGCCTCTTCCACGTGCCTCTCTCTCTCTCTCTCTCTATCTCTCTCTCTCTCTCTCTCCTCTCTCTCTCTCTGTCTCTCTCTCTCTCTCTCTCTCTCTCTCTCTCTGTCTCTGTCTCTCTTTGTTTTCCACTTATTTCCACTGTTTTCCGGCTGGCCAGAGAAGGGAAGATTGTGGTTCTGTCTTTGGCTATTGGTTTGGCTGAGCAAGATGACTTTGCCAATATCCCTGATCCAATCACCTCCATGCAGGAAGCACCACCAGCCAATCAGGAAGCACTTCCTCCTCCACCTGACAAGAGGTACCAGTCACAGTGTGAGAGAGGTGTTTATGTGTGAGATGTATGACAGAGAGCTATGTGTGTACATGAGAGAGAAGTGTGTGTGCATGCGTGTGCGTGTGCACGTGCGTGTGCGTGTGTGTGTGTGCGTGCGTGTGCGTGTGTGAGAGAGAGAGAATTGGGGTGGAAATTAAATGACGTGAACTATTTGGTTGTGTGAGAGAGACAAGGACAGGCGGTTTGTGTTTCTAGTTGGTAGATAGCAGATCTGTTATTACGGATGTCACTGGGTTTGCGGTGCGCTGAGTATGTTGATTTCCACAGTCAGGTCACCCTTGATACAAGTCAGTATTCGACGTCCATCCATGTCTGAGGACGTCGGGAGATGATGTGGAAACCGGCCACTAGGGGGCAACAGTGAGCGCTGTTACCTTAGAGTAGGTTTAAGTTGTGGACAGGGATGGCGGATGTGCCTCTGATTCCAAAGGTTGCAAGTTTGAATCCAGCGATAAAAAGTTGTTCTTGATATTTTTTGTTTTAAGCCTAACCTTAGAAATTCAGAGTTAATGCCTGAACTTAACCTTATACACATCGAAATATGACTTTGGAACAAATTTTACGTTTGAGAAACATGGATGAACGTCTAATTCTGATATGAGACCGTGAGAGATGGTAGGGTTTCCAACCAAGGCTGTCTACCGCTAGAACCAATCTAGAGGTATTGTCTTGACATTACATACGTTATGCTGTTTCATTGTGAGAACTTGTGAGAGCAAAGGACAATGAGATGACTGATAGAACAGCCAGTCAGGTGTTCAACCTTCCCAAGTTCTCTCACGTCACCCCGCTCCTCCGCACACTCCACTGGCTTCCAGTAGAAGCTCGCATCTGCTACAAGACCATGGTGCTTGCCTACGGAGCTGTGAGGGGAACGGCACCTCCGTACCTTCAGGCTCTGATCAGTCCCTACACCCAAACGAGGGCATTGCGCTCATCCACCTCTGGCCTGCTGGCTCCCCTACCTCTGCGGAAGCACAGTTCCCGCTCAGCCCAGTCAAAACTGTTTGCTGCTCTGGCACCCCAATGGTGGAACAAGCTCCCTCACGACGCCAGGACAGCGGAGTCACTCACCACCTTCCGGAGACATTTGAAACTCACCTCTTTAAGGAATACCTGGGATAGGGTAAAGTGGTTATCCCACTGGCTATAATGTGAATGCACCAATTTGTAAGTCGCTCTGGATAAGAGCGTCTGCTAAATGACGTAAATGTAAATGTAAACCACATCAGGACAATGAGATGACTGATAAAACAGCCAGTCAAGGAGACCCCAGAAGGACAATAAGATGACTCAAAAAACAACCAAATCAAATCGAATTTTATTTGTCACATACACGTGTTTAGCAGATGTTATTGCGGGTGTAGCGAAATGCTTGTGCTTCCAGCTCCGACAGTGCAGTAATATCTAACAAGTAATATCTAACAATTTCACAACATATACCCAATACACACAAATCTAAGTAAGGAATGGAATTAAGAATATATACATATATGGACGAGCAATGACAGAGTGGCATGGACTAAGATACAGTAGAATATTATATTATAGAATACAGTATATACATATGATGAGATGAGTAATGCAAGATATGTAAACATTATTAAAGTGACTAGTGTTCAATTTTTTAAGTGGCCAGTGATTTCCAGTCTATGTCTACAGGCAGCAGCCTCTAATGTACTAGTGATGGCTGTTTAACATTCTGATGGCCTTGAGTTAGAAGCTGTTTTTCAGTCTCTCGGTCCCAGCTTTGATGCACCTGTACTGACCTCGCCTTCTGGATGATAGCGGGGTGAACAGGCAGTGGCTAGGGTGGTAGATGTCCTTGGTGATTTTTTTGGCCTTCCTGTGACATCGGGTGCTGTAGGTGTCCTGGAGGGCGGGTAGTTTGCACCCGTTAATGTGTTGTGCAGTCCGCACCACCCTCTGGAGAGCCCTGCGGTTGTGGGCGGTGCAGTTGCCGTACCAGGCGGTGATACAGCCCGACAGGATGCTCTCAATTGTGCATATGTAAATGTTTGTGAGGGTTTTAGGTGCCAAGCCAAATTTCTTCAGCCTCCTGAGGTTGAAGAGGCACTGTTGCGCCTTCTTCACCACACTGTCTGTGTGGGTGGACGATTTCAGTTTGTCAGTGACGTGTATGCCAAGGAACTTTAAGCTTTCCACCTTCTCCACTGCTGTCCCGTCGATGTGGATAGGGGGGTGCACCCTCTGCTTTTTCCTGAATTCCACGATCATCTCCTTTGTTTTGTTAAAGTTGAGAGAGAGGTTATTTTCCTGGCACCACACTCCCAGAGCCCTCACCTCCTCCCTGTAGACTGTCTCGTCATTGTTGGTAATCAAGCCTACTACTGTTGTGTCGTCTGCAAACATGATGATTGAGTTGGAGGCTTGCTTGGCCACGCAGTCATGGGTGAACAGGGAGTACAGGAGTGGACTGAGCACGCACCCTTGTGGGGCCCCAGTGTTGAGGATCAGCGAAGTGGAGGTGTTGTTTCCTACCTTCACCACCTGGGGGCAGCCCGTCAGGAAGTCCAGGACCCAGTTGCACAGGGCGGGGTTCAGACCCAGGGCCTCGAGCTTAATGATGAGCTTGGAGGGTACTATGCTGTTGAATGTTGAGCTATAGTCAATGAACAGCATTCTTACATAGGTATTCCTGTTGTCCAGATGGGATAGGGCAGTGTGCAGAGTGATGGCGATTGCACCGTCTGTGGATCTATTGGGGCGGTAAGCAAATTGAAGTGGGTCTAGGGTGACAGGTAAGGTAGAGGTGATATGATCCTTGACTAGTCTCTCAAATCACTTCATGATGACAGAGGTGAGTGCTACGGGGCGATAGTCATTTAGTTCAGTTACCTTTGCTTTCTTGGGTGCAGGAACAATGCTGGCCATCTTGAAGCATGTGGGGACAGCAGACTGGGATAGGGAGAGATTGAATATGTCTGTAAACACACCAGCCAGCTGGTCTGCGCATTCTCTGAGGACGCGGCTAGGGATGCCGTCTGGGCTGGGAGCCTTGCGAGGCTTAAAGTCTTACTCACGTCGGCCACGGAGAAGGAGAGCCCACAGTCCTTGGTAGTGGGCCTCATCGGTGGCACTGTATTATCCGCGATGTGGCTGGATTTCCTTTTGTAGTCCGTGATTGTCTGTAGACCCTGCCACAGACATCTCATGTCTGAGCCGTTGAATTGCGACTCCAGTTTGTCCCTTTACTGACGTTTTGCCTGTTTGATTGCCTTGCAGAGGGGATAACTGCACTGTTTGTATTCTGCCATATTCCCAGTCACCTTGCCATGGCTAAATGTTTCTGCCTATAGTTCTGCCGGTTCTTAAATCTTTACATTCCAGTCAGTTACAGAATTGATTTCAAAGTGGTGCTTTTGGTTTATAAATCTTTGAACGGTTTAGGACCCGAGTACATGTCTGATATGTTTGAAGAATATAAAACGAGCAGGGCTCTTAGATCCATGAACACAGGTCAGCTAGTAGAGCCCAGAGCCCAAACTAAACACGGAGAAGCTGCGTTTAGCACTGATGCTGTACACAACTGGAATAAACTACCAGAAGATCTTAGATGTGCCCCGAAACGTATCCATTTTTAAATCCAGGTTAAAAACACTTCTATTTTCACGTGCCTACGACTGAGCACTTAAACTTAACCACACTGTTTAGCCTTATAGCTTCCTATGTTTTTATCCCATTTTTAATTTTTTATCTTTTTATCTTTTTATCTATATATTTTTTTATTGTATTTTTATTATTATGATGTTTTCATTATTTTTGATACACGTCTTTGTAAAGCACATTGAATTGCTTCGATGTATGAATTGCTTGCTTGCTTGCTATAGGAAGGGAGGAGCAAAATGGAGTTGTGGTCAGATTTGCCGAAAGGAGAGCGGGGGAGGGCCTTGTAAGCATCCCGGAAGTTCGAATAGCAATGGTCGAGTATTTTAGCAGCCTGAGTACAACAGTCGATAAGTTGATAGAACTTCGGCAGCCTAGTCCTCAAATTTGCTTTGTTAAAATCCCTAGCTACTGTGGTGTCGAGAAAACCAGACAGCCGTCTGGTGTACATCTTATTGTACAGTTCAACTTACACAATGCATCTCTTCCCAACAATGCAATAGGTATATGTTCTGATACCAGTATGGGTATTGTAATTTTCTAATTTTCATAGCAGAGCTCAATTGGTTCCTTAAGAGTAATCAACTGTTTTACTCCCTCAAATCTCTATCCTAATTAGTTAATTTTGACATAGTGAGATGTGTAACCTCTTCAAGCTGAACAGAGATAAAAGCCTTTCCGCTATCCATCATCACTTCCCATAAACTATTGTTTATTTTCACCTCAATTGTTGGATCTTTTCCCCTAACTGGTGCTACCAGCTGACACCCCCCTTTCGGATCTTCTAGGCACCCCTAGAATCCTTGCTCCTTGTCCCTATAAGGGTTCACCTGTCCTCCAGATGATCTTCACTTGCTCCTGTATCTTCCTCTAAAATTCCCTCTTGTGTTTCCTTCTGGCCCATTACACTCACAGCAAAGTCATCAAGATTGCTGAAAGTATGGCTGAAATCTTCCTCCTCTTCCTCTTCCTAAGCCTTCTCGTCCTCTTCCTCTCCAATTCTTTCTCAGTCCAGAAACTATCTATGGATATGAAACAACTTGTACCACTAGTTGTGGCTGGTACAATTGCATTTGACCTTGTTCAGTTGAAGCTGTGGCAGTGATTGTTGATTTGGTGCACACTGATTCTTCATAACCAAAGCTTTTCTTCTCCTTCTTATTCTCCCCCAGTTGTATTTCATCAAGTTTTCTGAGAGTTTCTTGGTCCTGTTCTTTCTAGTTGTTGACATATCGGTATTCTTCAAAGGCTTATATTCTAAGTTCTGTCCTCGAATGATCACCTTGCATCATCTTCTTACTGGTGCCCTCTTTCCTTGGCCTCAATGTCTACTTTTTCTCCAATTCTTGGGATCCTTTTCTCAGCAGTAGAAGG